CCTGGGCAGGGGGGTCCTGGGGGTCTCTGTCCCCACTGTCCCTGTGCTCTCACCATGTTGTACCAGGCGGTGACCAGCAGCCGCTCCTCGCGCTCCCGCTGCTCCCGGCTGCGCTCCCAATCGTTCTGGGGGTGTTCAGGGGGGTTCAGATGGGGATGGAGACCCCCAGGAACCCCTCCAAAATTATTGTTAATTAACTCCTTAATTAATTATTAATTATTATTAATCCCTCACCTCCAGGTGCCGGATCAGTGCATCCTTCTCCTGCAGCTGGTTGCGGAGGAGCTGCAGCACGGGGGCCAATGGGGGGGTGCCAGGGGGGTCCCCAAGGGGTCCTGAGGGTTTTTGGGGGGGCGAGCTCGTGGAACCTCTAAATCCTGATCCCATAGTGGGAATAAAGAGAGAGGTTAGCCAGGAAGGACCCCCAAACTTCCCCAGATCTTCATGGGGAAACTGAGGCACAACTCATCTCCTGCCCCTTCCCTGCAGACATCACCCCACAGGATCCCTATACAAACCCCAATCTGGGGTACCCCAGAATTTCCCCCTCAGGACTCCCCACATGCTGACCCCTCCCCAGCTACTGATGCCCACTCCAGACCCCGTCATACCAGCTTTGGAGAGCTCCAGATCTTCCTCCTCCTCCTCCTCTCCCTCTGGCAGCTCATCCCTGGGGGGACAGGGGGTGGTCACAGGTGGGGGATGTTGGGAGGGCTCCCCAAATTCCCCCCACCCCCCAAAAAACTCACAGGTCCTCGGGGGTCTCCTCCAGCAGCACCAGCTGGGGGGAATTGAGAAAGAGGTGAAGATGGAGCACTGAGATTACCCCAATAAAACCTGACCCCCCAAAACACTGAGACCCTCCCCAAGCCCCACACAATGAACTGGGGTTCAGAGACCCCCCCAAAGCCTCCCTGTTCCCTCCTCACCTCCTCCTGCGGCCTCCCCTGTGCTGTCCGAGGCTCAGCTGCCCCTGTGGCCTCCAGCCTGTGGGTGTGGGGGGCTCGTTAGGGATCAGGGGGCTCGTTAGGGATTTCTGAGGACCCCCCGGCCCCCTCGGTTACCCCACCTGTGCTGGAGCTGGTCCCGCTGCAGCCGCAGCCGTCGGTTCTCNGCGCGTGAAGCCGCGGCCGGTTCAAAGATGGCGGCGGATTTAAAGAGACACGAATCCTCACACACGCGCCGTGTCCGATCAGAGCGTTTTACCCCCTGGTTTAGGAGAAGTAATTAAAGGAATAGAGTCCTTTAAACGGTTTAAAGGGTTTAAGTTGGAGGAAAAGTCTGCCTCTTCCGTGATTTAAAGAGGTTTAATTGACCTGGGAATCTCTACTTTCTATTATTTTAAAGCATAGTTGACAGCAAATCCAACTTTTTCCTTGTTTAAATAGATAAATTGAGGTGAAGTCTGTTTTCTGTCGATTTAAAGGGTTTAAATTGAAAGTAGCCTATTTATGGGCCATTTTAAGAGTTCCATCAACAGCGGCTCTCTGTTTTAAAACACCTTGTAGGGAAAATGGTGTCAAAAAGCCCCAGAAATTCTGTTTATTGAGGCAAAACCAGTAAAGGGAGTGGGAAGCCTTTTGGCAGGTTAAAGTGAGGGGGAATTCCATTAAAAAAAATTAACATGATGCAGAATCCTAAATTTCAAGGGTTTAAATTGGGGGAAACTCCATGTTTTTCACCATTTTTATGTTTCATCTTGGGCGGAGACCCCCTTTATCCATCATTTTAGGGCTCTAAACATAGAGGGAACCTCTTTTTCCATTTTTAAGGTTTAAATTAAGGGGGGAAAACCCTTTTTTCATTGTTTTAAAGAGTTTAACTCAAGAAGTTCCCTTAACTATGATGGGAAAAAGGGCGGGTAATGTGAGGGGAAAAAAGGTGGGAATTGTGAGGGGAGAAAAGGGCGGGAAACTTGAGGGGGGAAAAATGGAGGGAAACGTGAGGGGGGAAAATGGAGGGAAATGTGAGGGGGGAAAAGGGCGGGAAACGTGAGGGGAGAAAATGGAGAGAAAAATGAGGGGAGAAAGGGGGAAATCTGAGGGGAAAAGGGGGAAATCTGAGGGGAAAAAGGCAAAACTAAAGTAATTTATATGGTGTTCATCCCCACCCACCTCTGCCACACTCCAGCACCAGCCCGGTGGTTTAAAACACCCAAAACTCCCCACCCATAGCTCAGCCCCCCAATATCCCCCCATAATAAATCTCCAGCACTGATTCCTGAGTCTTTATTAGAACATTTTATGGGGGTGACACACACAAGCCCCCGCCCGAAATCAGCTACAAAAATAGAAGTGCTAAAATTCCCCCAAAAGACACGGGGGCAAAGTCCAGGCCCCCCAAAATGAGGCGGGGAGCTCAGGTTTGTAGTGTTTGAAACGGGACCAGCCCAGAGCGAGGGGGTTTGGGGTGTTTTGGGGGTGTCCTCTCTGAGCTGGAGGAGGCGGCCCGGCCATGAGGGGCCCATGCCCACCGTGGGGTGTTTGGGGANAAATTCACCCCAAATTCACCTTAAATCCAACTCAAATTCACCACAAATCCACCCCCAAATCAACCCAAAATCCATCCCCAAATTCACCCCAAATCCACCCCTTTATTAAATTTTTACCTTAATTTTGGTGAAGAACTGCCTGAAGCAGGCCCTGGGATCCACCTTGAGGCTCTTGGCCAGCTCCAGGATGAACTGCATGACGATGGTCTGGTGGGCCACCTGCTCCATCAGCGCGTGTTTCTGGGGAAAAAACCCATGTTTTGGGTTAAAATCCCCCAAATCCGCACTCCATCAAACCCTTCTGGGTGGGGAAAGGGGATTTGGGTCAGGGAATCCCTGCAGGAGCTGTTAAGGGCATTAGGATGAGACTGGGCTGGATTTGATGATCTTTAGGAGCTTTTTGATCCCAAACTAATCCCAAATTCCCTGATTTTAAATTTTTTTGGGCTCCTCACCCCAGGTAAACCCTGGAGCTGCAGGAGAGGGGTCAGGGGTGAATCCCTCTCCCAAAAAAGGTGAGGGTGCCTTTACAGATTGAGTTTAAAGATCTCTTCTACTTTATAATTCCCAAACCTCTCATTTTTCTGGCAGGAAAAACGGGCTAAAATCCAGAGAGGTGACAAGAAGGCAATTCCAGCGTGGAAAAGAGAGATTTTAGCCCAATTTGAGCCTCACCTCCTCCACCTCCAGGTCGATGCACCAGATGACCAGGTAGTTGGCTGTCTCCTCACAGACCAGGTGAGGGTTGTCGGACAGGTACTTCTGGCTGTCATCCCAGCGCCTCAGCATCCCTGCGCAGCACAGGGGGGGTTTTTAATGAGAAAACCTCGTTAGGGGGGTCCTTAATGAGAAAGTCAACTCTGAACCTTGTTAGGAACAGGGTGGGCACGAGGGAGAGTGCCTCAGTCTGAAATTTAATTAAACTCCCCCAAAACTCTGCTTCAGCAGGGGGAAAAATGGGAAAACCACACAAAATTCTTGATTTTTTAGAAGAGTGAGAGGATTCTGTGCTGCTCCCAGCACAGGAGGTGTAACCAAGTCTGGGGAACCCCAAAAAGCTGCTCCCCAAACCCCCCCAAACTCTCACCAAAGTGTTTGATCTGCTTCTCGTATCTCTCCACGAAGGTTTTGTGTTTCTTCTCCTTCTGCTCCTCCGTCTCCTCCTTCTCCTCGGGCTTCACGTTGAAAACGCTCTGGGGACCAAAGGAACACAGGGAATGATTTGGGGGAAAACCTCACGGATTTGGGATCGGTTTTTCAGGGAGATCTTCACAGATTTGGGGTTGGTTTTTGAGGGGATCCCTCACAGATTTGGGGTTGGGTTTTTGGAGGGCTCCTGACAGATTTAGGGACAGTTTTTTGGGGGGCCCCTCATGGATTTGGGGTTGGTTTTTTGAGAATATCCTCACAGATTTGGGGTTAATTTTTGGGGGGGTTTTTCACAGATTTGAGGTCAGTTTTTTTGGGGGTTATTCACAGATTTGAAGTCAGTTTTTTGGGGGGTTATTCACAGATTTGTGGTTGTTTTTCGTGGTGTTTACCCCAAACCCCACCTTGCTGAATCCATCCTTGCTGAGCGTGTCCACATTCCAGGGCATGTTCTTCTCCTTCTTCCTCAGCTCCTCCAGCTTGCTCTCCCAGCTCTTCTCCTCATTCCTCAGCTGCTGGGCCTCGGCCTGGAGCTTCTCCATCTCGCCCCGGCCGCTCTCGGGCTCGGCCAGCTCCAGCTCCTTCATCTTCTTCAGGCACTCGGCCAGTTTGCGCTTGCACTCGCGGCAGCCTTTATCCAGCTCCTCCTTCTCCTTCTGGAACTGCTCCATGCGCTCCACGCGGGCCTGGGGGCACCCACACAGCTCCAGACCCCCCACTCTGGCACTTCTGGGGGTTTTTGGGTTGGGGAGGGGGTTTGGGGGTGGCTCTGGGGTTCTGCTGGTTCCCAGATCCCCCCA